TTATAGTTATTCTTCCCGATGAATGAGAACCAATGTGATGATTTACAACACGTAAGGTAATAGTAACCATGATTATAGTTAACTAAAAGTGTGTTCTGAGTAATTGCACTCATAAATACAATATTTCAACGATATCAATGCAAATAACAGTAATGAAAATCTTACTTTTGGCCACGTTGCTGGAAATGTACACCGTAACGCCATTTGTCGACATTCATCGGGAAGAAATTGTCGTTCGGGCATATTTCGTTACTTGCTTGAATGTTGTTGATGTACCGAGTAAAGCATACACCAGGTGCGGTGAATATCAATATCACTGATATGAACACAAGTACCTGAAATCTCGAACTAACAATTATCTGCATAAATAATCTCTATAAGATAATAATTCCTGAAAAACAATTCCCACTCTCAAATAATTCGCTGAATAATGATAACACTAAGAAAACCGAGCGATTAATCGCCTAGCGAATCTTCAAGATCTTCATTATGATTAATTGGAAATTTCGATTTGATAAATCGAAATTCCCATTCAGTTACCTTCAGACGCGATCTTCTGTCTCAAATTTATTCGCAAATTTCCATTCATACGGATATTGAGATGGTGCGATTGAAACTTTTTTTGAGCGATCAATACATTGATTCGCAATCATGGTAAGGCAAACGCATTCAAAAATGGAAACTACCGCAGATATTTATCCAACATGAGATTTCATTAGTGCGAGGCTGCTTGACCAATAACTTGTTCAAGTGCTGATATCTTACTGAAAGTTTATGACCTCAAAAAAAGTACAACTACTGCTAAGGAGTAACTACTACCAAAAAAGGGATGCCGCAAGGCCAGCGAGAAATTCTAGCAACTTATTACATGTTTAAGAGTCAGGCTCTACAGTAGTGGACGAAATGAAAACGCATGCAATAAAATGTTACGGATACGAAATATGCCTGGCGTTTCTTAAAGAAACGCACGTGCGTAAAAGTGAAGTGCCATGAAAAATGAGGTATAACCGTCATTAAAACTATGCAATAGTTAATGACATATGAAATATGTTTACTAATAAAGTATAGTTTACATTTGATCTGAATGATGTCAAAAGTGTAACTCGATCGTCCTCATTAACGTTGATCAGTTTCAAAATACATTCTATCAGGATTAGAATAGTGAGGCAGTCATAAAAGGCTTGCTAGCTTCGTTCCCAAAACCATCGATGAAAAAATTGATAACATTAGAAAAACTTACAAGTATGGAGCCTCTGAGAAGCGCCGACGTACCGGAGTAAACCGTTCTTGATGCCATTACCGATTAGTCAAGAATATTGAATGTGGATGTTGATTTCTGAGTGTGAATCGGAATATAGAACTTGAGATGAACAATCGTTTCAAAGAATAAATGTTTCGAAGACGAGAATGACGGTCAAAACAATTGACGT